GCAGATCACGAGAGGGAGGGCAGGAAGGGCTGCCTCAGTGCTGAGTTCTCCTGGCCCTTTTTTACGTGCCCAGGGAAATGCCCACCACCACCTTGGGATCAGGAAGCCATTCTTCTCCAGGCCACTTTGGCCGGGGATCCTGGAGGGTTTTTTGGTGCTGTCTTCTGGGCATGGAGCAGGGGGTCACTGGGTGTGTGTGTGTGTGTGGGCGAGGTATTTGTGAATTTCCTGCATTGTGCAGCAGGGGGTTGGACTGGATGACCCCGGAGGTCCCTTCCAACTCCGTGATTCCATCAGCTTGGCATCGCAGGGGTCCCAGAACTCACCCTCAGGCCTGGATGAAAACAACCTGAGGCTAGACACTGCGAGATGACCCCGGAGGTCCCTTCCAACTCCGTGATTCCATCAGCTTGGCATCGCAGGGGTCCCAGAACTCACCCTCAGGCCTGGATGAAAACAACCTGAGGCTAGACACTGCGTCACGCTTAGGGGGCCCCATTGCCTGGTCAAGGAAATGGCAATTTAGTGGTTGTTTTTTTTTTAAAACGCAGAAACCCCTCACAACCCGAGGCCTTCAACTGAGCATAAATCCAGCTCTGTGTCCAAGGCCTAGCGGGCAGAGGCCCCTGCAGCCTCCCTGGATGGGCCTTTTCTAGTCCTTCGCCTTTCTCTACCACTCCTCACCACACCTCTGCGAGGTAGGCCAGCGCCTGCCCACCCCCCGGTGGGAGTTGGACTCTTGTCTCCGCATCTCAGTGACACCCCCCTGCTCCCCCTAGGGTTGCCAGGTCCCCCTCCCCGGCCACCAGCAGGAGAGGGGACCGGGCGGAGTTGCCAGCTCCTGGCTGGGAGATTCCTGGAGATTTGGGGATGGAGCCAGAGGAGGTGAGGGACCTCCTCAGGGGGGCACAGTGCCCTAGGGCCCACCCTCCAAAGCCTCCATTCTCTCCAGGGGGAACTGATCTCTGTTGCCTGGAGATGAGCTGTGATTCCGGGGGATCCCCAGGTCCCACCTGGAGGCTGGCATCCCTCATAGCCCTCGTCCTCCTGTACTGGGGGTGGACTTCAGCCCCTCCTGCGTTCTCACCTCCTGAGAGGGTTGCCAGCTCCAGGCTGGGGGACTCCTGGAGATTTGGGGAGGACGGTGGCAGTGTCCCCTCTAAGCTGAGTGAGTGTGAGCCAGCTCACAGTTTTTTAGCCTCCGGCTCGCACATTTTTGTCTTAGTTCAGGGAGGATGGGGCTCCAGAGCAAACTGACTTATGCAGCAGCCCAATCGCTCGCTCAGAACTTTAATGCCAGCAGCTCACAAAGTGGAATTTTCGCTCACAAGACTCCACAGCTTAGAGGGAGGATTGGACGGGGACCTCAGCAGGGTGAACATAAGAACATAAGAGATGCCAATGTTGGATCAGGCCAGTGGCCCATCCAGTCCAACACTCTGTATCACACAGTGGCCAGAAATACCATGGTGGTATACCAGGGTGGGGGGCAGTGTTCCCTCTAAGCTGAGTCAGTGTGAGCCAGCTCACCGTTTTTTAGCCTCCGGCTCACACATTTTTGTCTTCGCTCAGGAAGCAAACTGATGTATGCATTTGCCAAATCACTCGCTCACCACTTTCATGCCAGCAGCTCACAAAGTAGACTTTTTGCTCACAAGAATCCACATCTTACAGGGAGCATTAGCAGTGTTCCCTCTAAGCTGAGTTAGTGTGAGCCAGCTCACAGTTTCTTAGCCTCTGGCTCACACATTTTTGTCTTCGCTCAGGAAGGATGTGGCTCCGGAGCAAGCTAATTCATGCAGCACCCAAATCCCTCGCTCACCACTTTAATGCCAGCAGCTCACAAAGTAGACTTTTTGCTCACAAGGCTCCACAGCTTAGAGGGAGCACATTGGGGGGGGGGGGGCAATGCCCTAGACTCCCCCCCCCCTCCAAAGCGTCCATTCTCTCCAGGGGAACTGATCTCTGGAGATGAGCTGTGATTGGGGGGGGGGGTTGTCCCCAAATCCCACCTGGAGACGGGCACCCCTTCCTCCTGCACTCTTTTTGGCCCCCCTGACCTGACCCACCCGGCCGGCTGGGGTAACTGTGGGTCAGCGCCCTTTGGGCGCATGCATGCATGCATGCATCGCGCCTAGGGGCGGGCGCCGCGGATCCTGCGCCGGGCGCATGGCCTGCGCCGCCGCCGCCGCCGCCGCCCCCCTCCCTGCCGCC